TGAAATAATTTGGTAATGTGACGTCAGCAACACTTTAGGTCACTTTTACTCGAAACTCCTATAAGTATTACACATGCATACAGCCTTGCTGAAGAAGGTACCTTGACACTTATAATCAGAAAATAGAAGTCAGGTCTGGTGTAGCAGATCACAAGAGAAACTACTATTAGTTAGTTCTCGCTTAACGCCTATACGATGATTACGATATGAGTAATGCAAAATGTAAAGCGACCCCCCAAGTGTACTCGTTAAATGTACACATGCGATTATTCCGTAAAATAAGTTTGAGAACCTAGGTACAAATTACATTACAAATCTTCTCTTCATGAATATTTTTTTTATTTTTTTTATATCTCATCAGTTCCCTGCATAAGTACAGCTTTCTATCCAGTCGACTGCTCTAACGACGACAAGGGTGGGCTGTCGTTGAGATGACAGCGCGAAAATCGTCGGCATCCACTAATTATGACCCTTATGTACCACTATATTGACAAAGTTCTCCGTCTTCGTACGCGATATTGGAAATTTGGCATCTACCATCGGCTGATCTGACATTAGGCGTAGTCTGGCTTTGTTATTAAATTTTCAACTGTATTACCTTGACAATCAGTTCAAAATTGATTACTAGAAAATTATTTGACAGACGATTTCTACTCTCGACAAATGCATTTGAATTAGCCCACAGGTTACAAATCTCAAAGTTATGCGCGATTACGAACAACAGAAAGCTTGTGGTATTGAGGTTTTTACGCATGCAGCGTCCACATACCGCGTCCGGTTCGCATCACTAATGTCAGAGCAATCCATAGAGTAATCCCCCGAAATATGTATAACAAGTAGGTATAATGTTACATACCTACTTTGTGTACAGTTAACCACGATATAACTAAAGTTAAAGGCAGAGAAAGTTGGGTTGGCGATCGCAGTTTTTTGTATAATTTCACATATAGAAGCTGCTGCCACAACGACAGGCCATTTAGTTTAGTTACCACTTCAAATTGCGACAACTATGGGACAATAACATATCGGCTGTAGTTTCCTGTTATCTATCAGAAATGAATTTTCCATTTCCAAGACTTTTCTATTCATGAAAATACATATATCTTATTTGCTCGTGAAAAATTTTCAATGAAACCAATGTAAATACAATTTTATTGTTGTACTCCAAACAATAGGCTGAAACATGAAACAATAATGAACGTTCTCGACTATACTTAAATGATAATTTGGATCCGGTTCCAACAAAGGAACTTAGTCATACTTATCTTACCATAGTTGGTCACTTCCTAAAATCATGACTAACCGTGCCTTATTGATCCTAACTTATAGCATGAAGTTTGACTGAACTATTGTAATTAGGTTAACTTTCGGATTTGGAATCGAGTAATTAAGATTGAATGATTATTTTTACTGTCATAAAAATTTTTTTTGAGTACCTACTCGTATCTCTACCGATGTCAAATTAGTTTTCCTCAATTCTGATTTCAAATTGGATAATGTGTTTAGAAGGGTTGAGTGCAAGGTGGTAAGCTATCCTTTCGTTTCTTAAACGATATCTGTCAACTATTTTGCGCAAGAAAACAAGTTTTAGTTTAGTTGTGTCAACAACACGAAGCCAAATTTTATCTTTTAAAAGTTTGCGATCAAAAGTCAATTAAGCTTAACTGATTAGCGTCTGACCACTTATGCTATGCTAATGTTGACGTTGGCACACCGTTACTCGTCTGGGCTGGGCAGGTGTGTCGTCGACCCGTGACATTAGTGTCATACTGAATTTGACACCATTTGCTAATTTATGGTGGGTAAAATCCCACCGAATTTGATTGGGGATCCGTGGATTGTAACAGAATTTTTCGTTTTAAAATATTTTTTAATTTTGTATTTTACTTGAAAATAAGAGTGGATGGATGGATGAAAGAAATAAAGAAACATTAATTGCAACAGGACTATTTTTGCTTTGTGATGTCAATGCAAAGCAAAGATAATAATTTACAATTATTTACACGTATTAGTAAACATACAATACAACACGTAGCATTTACATGGATGTATTATATTCCTTGACGCAAATTACTGCAGAAATAATTTTGATCACACTACCACTTTAGTTATCAGCTGTGACTTTAGCATTGAAATAGCACACAAGTGGGGTAAGGCTATATAATAAGTTAGGCTATTTTTATCTAAATATCCGCTGACGAGTTCGCAGAGAAAAGCTAGTACTTATGTCAAATTTGGTTACAAAATCTTTCTGATGGAGCTGCAGATTTGGTGAGGTGATTACAGATCACAGCGAAAATATGAAAAATCTGGCAATATATGAAAGACGAACTAATTTGGTCGCCCTAAAGCTCTAAAGTCAAGATTAATGCTCCCTAAGCGCGCTTTTGTCCGACAAGAATCCATTAAAATACGGATTTAAAAACTTGGATTGGGTCTAGAGCATTAACTACCATATGGATGCGACAAGTTCTACGACTACCCAGGACCGTATTTTCACGGAGTCAGATAGGACACGAATGACGAAACTGTTAAATTTAAAAAAAACAAAAGAATAACTGAAGAATCCTAAAAATATGTTATGAATATTATATTTAGTTTAACTGAAGACGCAGTTGTCACGTTGCAGAACAAGCGCAGGTGTGTTGTGACGCTTATCGCCGCAAACACTGACACACAAATAGTGTCTGGACATTACTAATCATTACACTTACGAAAAGGTACGATATTGTAAGGTTGCGTCAGGCTTAATAATCTTCTGGAGGATTCTATTTATCTTTGTAAAAATACTATCCCATCAAAAACAATACTTGTCAAAAAAACCAAGTCNCGGGTCGAATTGAGAACCTCCTCCTTTTTTGAAGTCGGTTGAAAATAGGTCTAGTTTCATCTATTTTCATATGTACACTTTAACGTGACTCACACTGTATAGTGTCTGAACATTACTAAACATTACACTTACGAAAAGGTACGATATTGTAAGGTTGCGTTAAAATAAAAGATGGCGTGGTCGAAGATGGAGTCTGCACGCATAGCAGACGGTCTGCGCATAGGTGGAACATGTCAGGAAAGGCCTCGCTACACCGGCTCCCAGTCCCATCTATGCTTAGCGAGACGGAGATGGTGGATTTTTTGTAGGTAGGCCCTTTCTGGAGGGGAGAGCCCCACATAACCTGTCGCCTGACCACAGCGGCGGGTATGCAACTCAATGCATTTTTACCACCGAAAAAAAAGGCTTAATAATCTTCTGGAGGATTCTATTTATTTTTGTAAAAATACGCCCTGTATTTTGAAACGATGCTGAAGTATGACGTCATTATACCCATAAACATCAATGGGATATTTGATGTGCCTTATTATTAATCGATGGGATTTTAATTAAGATCCAAGAGCTTGACTTACTTTGACTTATGGTCCTATGTCCCCTAGATGGGGCAGAGGGCGTCCACAACAGTCCTCCATCACGTTCGGTCTTGAGTTATGTGTTTGATCTCGCTCCGAGTCTTGCCGATCTTCTTCGCCTCGTCTGCCACAGTGCGCCGCCAAGTTTGCTTGGGGCGACCACGTTTGAGTTTTCCTTGGGGGTTCCAATCCAGAGCCTGGAAGATCCAAGAGCAATGTACGTTTAATGACTACATATCTACGCCATATTAGCTCTACGTCATTAGAAAATAGTTATTTATTTGTGTAGGACCACCAGAAAAAGCATTGACGTAGTACCTAACTCCCTTAAATTAACAATTCGCCCTTTTCTGTTTAACCTTCTGCTCCTATTTCGCATTAATACAAAAAGTTGTCGAATGCGGTAATAAAGGTACATTAAAAAAATCAATAGGTTCTAGGTACTATTCGTTAATCGAGAGTATCAAACTCAATAATTACATGTAATTAGTTAATTAGGTGGACAGGTCTCCTACTAGGTGGACAGACGATCTGGTAAAGGTCGTGGAAAATCTTGGGGGAGGCCTTTGTCCAGCAGTGGACGTCATTTGGCTGAAACGAACGAACGAACTAATTTGAATAACTGAAGCTTTCTTACTTTATTTAATTCTACTTAGTTATGCTTAGGCTGAGTAGCACCACCTTATTGTAACCGTAACAATATTAATAACCGGTGCTTTTTGTATGGACTTTGACAGATTTTTGACGTTTGTCATAGTTAAAGTAAGATGGTGCAACTCAGCCTTAGAATCCAAATGAATCATTTTCTTTTGTTTACCTATTCACATGCACAAATATTCTACGTTTGTTAGTTATTTTGTTGGAAAACACATAATAATATTATTGCTATCAATATGTTTTTCAAACAGGATATGATTACTTTTAATATAATTGATATATAATAACTTACATTTTTGTTAAGTTAGTGTATTTATTTGTGTCAAATGTTATTGTTATGATGACTAACCGGTCTTTGGTGCCTTGTTTATAGTGTTTATTAAATTATATTGCTCCATATAGTTATTTATTTAGACAGTAGACGTAAAATAAAAAAACGTTTTTTATATTATATCCTAAATTCACTGCTTAGCACATTATCGATTTCAAAATTGTTTAAATAAACGATGACAATACTTTAATCAGTAGGTATTATTTAATTCCTTAACTCTCAAAGAAATTGTGATTCAAAAATATTAAAAGTGAAGACAATTTCATAAAATAAATTGTATTTCTCTCTCTCATTTATCCTGAAAAAGGAAAGAAAGGTTGGAAGTTCTGATATGAATCATAAAAATATATGCAAAATGGTCTTTCGAAAGATTAGACATTCTAAATGTTATTAAGCACCATCCTTTCAGGTGTAAGCATGACGTCAACCCAACACACATTGTCACACAAATCCGTGCTTAATATCCCGTAGAAAGGAACAAAACATTTCCATAAAACATTTTGCGAGCGTATATTTTTCAATAATTTTCTCCGAAACACGTTACAATCATTCGCTTCAGTTTGCACAGCTTGTTTTGTGTTAACAACAAGTAATGAATAATACTTAAATGAACATTTGATGCACGAGTCCCCAGTGTGTGTCTGACTGTTATAGTTAAAAGTATTCTAGAGCAAAGTTTATCGGAATTATTATATTATTTTACGCCATATAATGGCGCGTACGATCCTCATTATTGTCTCGCTGGTAGCTGCAGTGCATGGTATGTAGTAGTGAATTTTCGGCAGTAAATATTTCATAAAATGGAAGTACCCACAAAAGCGTGCGATCGTATGTAAAGGTTCTAGAAGTTTCGTGCGGTTTTTTTAACATATTAGTATAGTATAGTAATTATGATTAAAATATAAAAATTAAGTGATTTCTTTTGTAGTTTTGTAAAAATATTTGGAATATTTAAGTACTTTTATATATTTTTAACTGATAAATATTAAAGTAATTAGAATTGATAAGCATCGACATACATAGTCATAGAAGATAGTAACTGTGATTCGAATATGAATATGCTATACCAATAAAATAAAACCCAGAGGATCTCTAATACGTTATGACATAATTAACTGGCGTTTTGTGAGTCCTCTTGGGAGTACATACTATTATTTTCACGCAACCCTCACGGAAAATACGGAATTTAGTGTAGAGTCACTAAATATGAATTTAATACCTTCTGTTGGCGAATAAATGACGTATATAAAATAAAATATGTAAACAGGTGCATTAAATATGAATAGGTAGCTGATGTAATTAATAATCTTTAGTCAGCAAGTAGGTTTATAAAACCCATTTTAAACTCCCAATATTATGTTTTATTAAGGTAGAGCTACTAAAATACGTATATTATCGTAATCGTAATTAGATAAATAAATTAAGGGTATAGGTATTCACAATAAATTCACAAGTTCACAAAATTACATTTAGTTACCTAAATTTTTAAAATAAAAGTTAAAATATTAAGTTAAGGGGGGATGCCAATTATACCAATTTTATTAAATATCTACGGACACATATTGGCGTTGACTCTCCGTGTTTTATGTTATGCAAACTTAAGCCATACGTGTTGTATCTACATGAGAATTATTATGTAGAAAAATAGTTTCTATGTATAAAGGAAAAGAGAAGATTACAACTTGTGATTAATTATTATTGTAACCATAGGTATTGAGTATCATGACACTTTTGTAACAAGCGATAGAGTCAGTCTATAAACGAAATGGGGGCTTAGGAAATAATATATTATACAACTCAGTAAATATTATACTAAGGTTTTTATTTAATGTGGTGACAGATATTTTTTCAGATAATTTTATGTAATACATAAAACTTGTATGAATATTGAAATAATTTCTTTCAATCTTCTCTTTACAGCAGGATTCGTTTGGACGAATGATAATGAAAACAATTTCTCACCGTAAGTAAAAAATATCAATTATTTGTGCTTATGCCTACGGCTTTACTTCTGTGAATTAATTACTGTCTATCACTGAAAGCAATAAACATCAATAGGAATTATTGTTAAAATTTATTTTGAGACTCTACAATTCAGAATTTTCGTATTCCTAGCTTAAACCTCTTGTAACACATGTTTTTCCAATGAAATTATTGTAATTTTCGTAATGTTGTTTCAGATTCCAACATATAAGGGTAAGCATAAAAAATACTAAGATTAAATACATCCCTCAGTTCGTCTTTGTGGTGTCACTAACTCACACTAAACTGACATATGCATGTTCATAACTATACAATAAATAATACATTACATACTGATAAAATGATTGATTTAAAATTTTAAATAAATACGTTTTATTAAAAACAAATTCACCGGCCTAGACATCCAGAGGCCCGTGTCTTATAGTATTGCATGCCCCGCATAAGCACAATTTTATTACATATAAAATAAATACAAGTGTGAAAAGCAATAATTAAATATAGCACAACTCACTTCTCACTGCATGGTAGGTACTTATTTTACAGTTCACTGCACCACACTGCACTCTTAAACAGTCCACGAAATAACAGTAGAACATCACATTACCATCAAAACAAAAACCTACACATGTACACTGTACAAAAGCAAAATTATTTACAGATGCCTATAATGCCTCGTCTCCCCACCTTACCAATTATGCCCACTCCTCCTATCCCACCCAAGGCGCCGCGGTTTCCATTTGGTGGGTTCCAGATGCCCTTCATACCTCTGCCGAAGATTCCCACTGCGGCCGAGATGGCCAGCGTGAAGCCTGGACCAAACCAGGTGTATAATGGAGTGGCAGTCAAATCCAGCAGTAGTTTCACTAGGGACAAGGATGGCAAACTTGTGAGGACTGGAGGCACCCATATTTTGGTGAACGACAACGGAGAGGTGCAGGAAGAAAAATGTGAGTGCGGTTTTTGCGAAGATTATGTTTTTTTTTTTAACTTGATAATAATACCGGAAACGACTCGTGATAAGCTAAATATTAGTAAATATGCTTGTGTTACGAGTGGGTAATGGGTTTACTACAAATACCTAGTCGAGCGGCGGCGTGGATCGAATCCGCGTTTCATGGATCACGAGTTGGCCAGTCTGCCACCTTTACCTTTCAGCTCTTGTCAAACTATGGAAATGATTGCTGAAAAAATTCTCTGTATTATTTTTAGTAGAGCCCAGAAGAAACTAAATTCAATAATCTTATCTTTTTTTTCAGTCGGAACTAGCCCTCCAAATCTAAATGACCCTATTGTGTAAGTTATAAACCTTATTTTTAAGTATTTTTCTGTATACGGAATGGTTTATTAAATATTATTTATTTTTCAGATTCCCGTCGGTAAGGTTCTACTGAAGGAGGAGTTGAGAAGACTTTAACTATTTTCTTATTTTAGATAGTAACACAACACATACCTACATTTACACTACTCTTATTATAATTTTTTAATATTATCAAATATGGACTACATCGAACAAAGACACAGGTAAATAAATTTTGGCAACACAAAGACGAACGAAGCTCGACAAACTTTCAGCAACAGTCCTGAAAATACTAAATGAAATATTTTTTTGTTTCAGGTACAAATCTTAAAGTTTCAGTATTTACTTTTAATTTTATTGCACTGCACTTATTCATATTCATTCACCATGTGCACTGCATAGCCAAACCACGATTTTATAATGTTATCCAAATCTATTTATACTCATATTACTCGTACCTACACTTCCCATTTTTAAAACTACACAATATCAATCTATTTTGAATCAAAATTTTCCATCACATGACCCATCTATTCAAATTAATAATTTACCTTCGATTTGTATAAAACCACATATAATTATATAATATTTTAAACTATTATGTTGCATTTTTTTTTTTACTATAAAATTATAAATTTATAAAATTATAAAGTCTGCCCGCGACCATGACTCGTGCAACCGAGCCGAAACGTCGGGAGGGTAAATATTATTTACCGTTAAAATAGATATTGTTGCAATAAATCCCGTAAAGTGATAATTTCACATAATAATTATACTCAACAGTGCTAACATAACGGTATATTGGATTTTTGCAATCATAATGCTGAAAATATTATTATTAAAAAAAACTATAACTTTTAAAGGGTAAACCCAAAAACCATTTGCACAAAAGCTTTGAGTCACTAATGTCACGAGAACACAATTCAATGCCTCAAATTGCCACATACTACATTCAACGTTATTCTTTTCAGATGCCAGAGTTTAAATTCTCGTTGCCACCTTTGCCACCAATGCCACCAATGCCACCCATGCCGCCCATGCCAGCCATGCCCCCCATGCCAGCCATGAAGCCAATTAAGCCAATAATCATCAACCCTCTGGACATCGAACTGCACCAGCCAGGGGAGAACGAGCACTTCGTAGGAGTTTCCACTTCTTCCTACAGTCACTCCTCCAACATCAACGGAGTGGAGAAGTCAGGCGGAGGCGCCCACTACGTAGTGAATGTCGACGGAGAAGTCGAGAAGGAGGTCCTCCATTTTGGACAGGGCGACAAGGAATAAAAAAATAACAAAAATGTAAACACCTTTGTAAAAATAAACACTATTCTAGTAAATTCCCTCTATTTTAAAACTATGACAGGAACACGTACGGCTATTTTTTTTTTCTATTTCAACATGTTTGAATGATTTTTCTACAAGCATTTGTTTATACCCTTTGTATCAATAGTCACCAATTAAATATCGTTTTTTATTACCAGTGGTTTCTTATTTTATTACGTAAATGTCTGATCATAATATAAAATAATAATCTAGTAGGCCCTAGATTCGATCTCGTAAAGTATGGTGTTATGAGGAGTGGAGGCTACGCGTACCGGGAAGCGCAGCGTAGGTAATAGGGCGTCTACAAGGTGGACCGACGACCTCATAAAGGAAGCGGGAAGGCGCTGGTTGCAGGCCGCTACTGATCAGCCTTTGTGGAAATCGTTGGGGGGAGACCTATGTTCAGCTGTGGACATCCTATGGCTGAAATGATGATGATGATCATGACGCCCTAAAAGCTACTTTTGTATTTCTATTCCTGGTAAACTAAAAGGCCTTAATGTAGTCATGCCACCTATGCCCCTTTCGCCACACATGCCACAAATGCCAGCATGTTAGCCCTGCTACAAATACAAGATAATACCTGAAACCAATTAAATCTACGCATATTCATCTAACTTTCTAACGCGATAAGAACAAGCGATACGTAGAATAATGAACTGTTCCAGCTTTAGCCAAACATGTCACCCGTATTACATCAGCGGTTTCTTTCAAAACCTTTTACAAAAAGAAAACATAGAAAGAGACACTAAAATTATGTAGCTTTACGATGTAGTCTTCAAAGTGCAAGCTGACTCGAACTGCAATCCTATTAGTCCTACTATCCTATTTCCTACTAATAATAAATGCGAAAGTTTGGATGTCTGGGTGTTTGTTACTCTTTCACGCAAAAACTACAGAATGGATTTTGATTAAACTTTACAGTATTATTGTTCATAACCTTTATAACCCAGAATAACATATAGGCTATAATTTATGACGATATGTGACAAACTTAATTTCACGCAGATGAAGCCGCGGGAAAAGCTAGTCAGTAATTAATTCGTTTCATTCTAATAAAATTAAAAATACTTCATCAACAATGAAGATTATATTTATTGTTTAGTCAGTTAAGTAGTTTTTTAAACCGTGACTGCATTTCAATAAATTATTTTTATGCCTACAAGGTTTGATCAAAATAATTTTGCCTGAAACATTTTTAGCTAACGAAACGAAGTGATGTGAATCGTTGCTATTACTATTACTAAAGAAGGCTTTCTTGTAACTATTTGGCTCATAAACAGAAGTACGAATGAACTACCCATCAATAAATAGTAGTTGCAATGCAATTTTTTTCTTGATGTGCTTACTTTGTATAGTTGTTGCAATTCACGAAGGCGAGTGAGCTTTACATGTGTGGTGGCTAGCTACTGATCGTTTTTCAAAAGTTTTGATAGACATTACATGACATTACACTATCGTTATGTGCATGTACACGTACACACACAAATAAAGCTCACTCGCCTTCGTGAGTTGCAAGCAACTAATGGGAAAACCAAGCAAAGCTTGCAAAACCATAATGTTAAAAAGTCAACATGACGCTGATTTTCACTTTTTGCTGCCTGATGGTGATGAGAGACATTAAATTTAGTAGTTAGATATTTTTTGTCTATTGATCTAAGATTCCTAGGTTTAATTCCCAGTGGGACATGGCAAATTATGAAATATTGGCGCCATTGTATAGGTAAATTAACCAAAATTATCTTAAAATGTCAAATGACAGGACGATTCATTATCTTTTCCTTGAGCTATGAGGGCTCATGTTCGTCCGTTCGTTTCAGCCGAATGACGTCCACTGCTGGACAAAGGCCTCCCATTTCCACAACGACCGGTCCCGCACTCCTGCGCCGCCCGCATCCAGGCACCTCCCGCGATATTCACCAGATCATCTGCGAGCTATGTGCCCTTCTACATGAGGTTATAATAATATGTATCAGAGTACTGTCCTCAGTAACTTGAAGGCATGAAAGAGCCCTTTAACTAAAATTAATTGTAACTAAAATTTTAAATATGAATTCTTGAAATGTCAATGATTTTTTCCCGTGAATCGGAGTTCAAATGCAGTAAAGTAAAATACATAATAATAATGAATTGTTCATTGGAATTATATTGTCTTCAAAAATGTTTTTCGTATACCTTTCAGATACCAAAAGATTATACTTTTACAAATCACTATGGCAACTTTAAAACAGCGTCTTCATCGTTTCCAAGAACAAACAAAAGAAGCGCATTAATTAACTAAATGAGCATCGTTTTTCACGTATTCATATTTTAAATGGGCATCTTTAAAATAATATGAAAATGATGGAAATTTTAAGAAGGGGACACTTGCAACACGCAGCAAAATATTTAAATTTAATTGCAATACTTATACCCGTAACTATAATCCTAAAAATTGATTTTTAGGTAAATAATGTTATAATTTCTTAAAAAGGCAATTTCGGTTCATGAAAATTAAAAAAAAAAAAGAGCCAGTATAGCTATGTATCCAGAGTGAATAGCGTCACAAAGGATAAATACAACAACTGTCAAAAACTTTTGGGCATAAAAGTGACCGGAAAACAAGTGGACCGACGATCAAGAGCACGTGCATGCGGGCAGCGCTGAACTGGCCGTTGTGGAAATTCTTAGGATAGGCATTTGTCCAGCAGTGGACGTCATTTGGCTTATCGACAGTAGTGACTGAAAATGAGACTGAAAATCTACTTGCGGTAACAACCAAAATGCGTAAAAACTATTTTCAACCGACTTCAAAAAAAGGAGGAGGTTCTCAATTCGACCCGTATNCAAAGCTCACTCGCCTTCGTGAGTTGCAAGCAACTAATGGGAAAACCAAGCAAAGCTTGCAAAACCATAATGTTAAAAAGTCAACATGACGCTGATTTTCACTTTTTGCTGCCTGATGGAGATGAGAGACATTAAATTTAGTACCTAGTTAGATATTTTTTGTCTATTGATCTAAGATTCCTAGGTTCAATTCCCAGTGGGACAAGGCAAATTTTTATGTTCAAGGCAAATTGTTCATAAGTGCCACTTGTGGTCTAAACTGAATAAATATTTTTGATTTTTTTGATTTTTGATATCCCAATATTTGGCGACATTGAGATTGTAGGCAAATTAACCAAAATTATCTTAAAATCTGAAACCACTTTAAAACGGACGATTCATCATCTGTCCTTGAGCTAAGAGGGCTCATGTTCGTTCGTTCGTTTCAGCCGAATGACGTCCACTGCTGGACAAAGGCCTCCCCCATGGATTTCCACAAGGACCGGTCCAGCACTCCTGCGCGGCCCGCATCCAGGCACCTCCCGCGATCTTCACCAGATCATCTGCGAGCTATGTGCCCTTCTACATGAGGTTATAATAATATGTATCAGAATACTGTCCTCAGTAACGTGAAGGCATGAAAGGGCCCTTTAACTACAACTAACTGTAACAACAATTTTAAAAATAAATACAAGAAATGTCAATGATTTTTTTCTCGGGGTTCAAATGCAGTAAATTAAATACATAATTCGAGTACTACAATGAATTGTTAATTGGAATTATATTGTCTTCAAAAATGTTTTTCATTTACCTTTCAGAGTGCCTTAAAAGATATACTTTTACAAATCTCTATGGCAACTTTAAAACAGAGTCTTCATCGTTTCCAAGAAGAAACAAAAGAAGTGCATTAATTAACTAAATGAGCATCGTTTTTCATGTATTCATATTTTAAATGGGCATCTTTAAAATAATATAAAAACGATGGAAATTTTAAGAAGGGGAAACTTGGAACACGCAGCAAAATATTTAAACTTTACAATATACCCGTAACTTTAACAATCCTAAAAATTGTTTTTTAGGTCTATAATGTTATGATTTTTTTAAAAGGCAATTTCGATTCATGAAAATTTCAAAAAAAAACGAGCCAGTATAGTTATGTATCCAGAGAAAATAGCGTCACAAGGGATAAATACGACAACAGTCAAAAACTTTTGGGCATAAAAGTGACCGGAAAACAGGTGGACCGACGATCAAGAGCACGTGCATGCGGGCAGCGCTGAACCGGCCGTTGTGGAAATTCTTAGGAGAGGCATTTTGTCCAGCAGTGGACGTCATTTGGCTTATCGACAGTAGTGACTGAAAATGAGACTGGAAAGTTACTTGCGGTGACAACCAAAATGCGAAAAAACTATTTTTCAGGAGTGAGTTACAAGCTTTTCTGCAACTCAAGTCGAGATAGGTAAGTACCTACAACTTCTAATTTACTTAACACTGGCAAACTGATGCAATACGGCGATATTAACTTACAAACTAATTTTACAAAGCCTTTAAGAAGGTCAGTTGTTTGGTCATAAAATTGTTGTCAATGTAGTGATTATTATGCAATAAAAATATGATGACGATCTATGTTTACCGCGAACTATTTTATGACTGCAGAGTGTAAGAATTTACTTACAAAGTATTTTATTACTAATAATTGTTCCTGTGCGTGTCAATAAACAAAGAAAATCAACACCTAGAGTTAGTGTCACGTAAATTGGCTTCCTATCGCTGGCAGGAGTGAGCAACAATTTTCATACCTACTCTACTCACGTGTTATAGACTTTTTTACACTACTTATTATTCTTTTAAAATACAAAAACAACATTATATGCATAAAAGTTGCATTTATTTAGGCCCAGTTAAGTCCAAAAATTTATAGTTGTAGAGCTTTTTCTTCATGAAAGCTTCATAGGATCACACTTAGGTACACAGTTCAAATACCGAGAAGATTTTCTACTTATAGAAAACGTGATCAATGATTTGCTGATTGCTTTCAAGATATTTGGGGTTTTTTTATGAAAAATCATAAAAAATAGTAATAAAATAGCGAAAGAATCAACAATAAACAGTTCTTAGCCCCTGCAATTTAAATACTACTTATTTCTCTTCAAACTCTCCATCACTTTGCCCATCGTCCTCTCGCCATTAGTATCAGAGAACTTGTGAATCACCAGTCCTTGGTTGCTCATATAAATTGGGTGGGGTTTCAGTGGAACCTCAAAGTCTTTCAGGATTCACAATCAGTCGTTTCATTTGGATTTTCATTTAGAAAATGTCGAAATTTTTTATCCTTTTCGTGGTCGCAGCGGTCGCAGTGTCGTGCATTAAGGGTAGGTTTTATTAAATAGATTAACCGAGAAGTTGGAGTAAATTTTGAAAAAGATTGAATTATTTTGATCAATATTTCCGTATCGTTGTCTAAGTACCTATTTTGTCCCGGAAACATTTCTTTTTTTCACTTCTGATGTAGTGGACAACAAACCTATATGTTGGTCAAATATGTATTGCCAATTACAACTACAACAATTGTAATTGTTAATATGAATCAACTGAATTAAATCAACTAACTTATGTTTTGCTTATGATAGTAATTTAAATATTGTTTTATTTTAATTTCATGTGCAGCTGATGAAGAGCCGAACAACCCCCCGAATTTCCCCAACAATGGACTGTAAGTACCTACATAGAACTATGCTTATAAATGTCGGCCGTTTGTTGTAGTGGTTCGGAAACGGACTATTATGCCGAGAGGTTCCCGGTTCGATTTCCGGCCGGGCAGGAATTGAAATTATGCATTTTAATTTCTGTGACGGGTCTGGGTGTTACTATGTATAATATGTATGTATTTACAAAAAAAAGTATTTAAGTATGTTTATATCCGTTGTCTAATACCCATAGTACAAGCTTTGTTTAGTTTGGGACTAGAAGCGTAGTGTAAAATATCCAAGGATATGTATTTATTTAAATGTAGAGTTACCTTAACTTGTACATTATAACTTTACTAGCTTTTCGTCCGCGGCTTTGCCCGCGTTGAATTTTGTCTGTCACAAAAATACATTATCGCGCGCGTCCCTGTAAACCCGGGATAAAAACTATCCTATGTCCTTTCCCGGGGCTCAAACTAAATCTATGCCAAATTTCATCAAAATCGGTTCAGTGGTTTAGGCGTGAAAGCAAGACAGACAGAGTTACTTTCGCATTTATAATATTAGTATAGATTTCTTTTATGTTTTGCATATGGTACTATCAAAAAAGGTCTGGGTTGCAATGCTTTTAAGTCATTCGTAACACGGACACCCGTATCAAACCTATGTACTCGTAGAACCAATACAGCATTGAATCTATGCTCAAAGGACATCATCCACGTTTCATATATTTTTGGTCCAAAATCAAAAGTGCCGGCCAACAAAAAAAAGTGCTGTATTCTGACAGAATACGTCTGCCTTAGCATTTGTTACTATGGTATCAAAGCCGTAGCTCCACTGTGCGTCGAGTATTTGAGATCTAAAAGTCATCGACTATTCATACATTTTTTGTTCAAAATCAAAAGTGTCGGCCAATAAAAAAAAAAGTGCTGTATTCTGACAGAATACGTCCGCCTTAGCATTTGTTACTATGACAACAAAGCTGTAGCACCACTGTGCGTCGTAGTATTTGAGCTCAAAGTCAGTCGTTTCATATATTTTTAGAACTCAAATACTACGATGCACAGTGGTGCTACAGCTTTGGTGCCATAGTAATAAATGCTAAGGCGGACGTATTCTATCAGAATACAGCACTTTTATTTTTTGGCCGGCACTTTTGATTTTGGACCAAAATGGATGATGTCCTTTGAATTGAGTTTCATTTTTCATTCTTACTTACACGCTACGTGCTTCATATACGGGTTTATCCTTTAATTTCAATGAGTTGTAGGGAAGGAAGAATTGTATCATGGTTAAACTATGCATTAACTGACCCATATAATTGTTTACTGCGTAGATCCACTTGCTAGCAATTACAACTAATAGTCAGCCAACATAGTTGTTAAAAGCTATTTAGATATAATTTTCCTTCAATAGAATATTTTTTGCTATTGAACGTCTTTAAAGACCATTAATGTGTACCAATTCTATAAAAAATACCTTGACCTATTCTTGATATGGAAAGTTTTTAAAATATAAAATTAGCCTTTCATTTTAATGTTTCAGATTGAATCCATTCAATTTTGGTAACGGATTTGGTCAGCCCTTTGCACCTTTGGTAAGTAACTTTTCTTCCTATTTAGGTCTTATTTCCCATAAAAAATTGATGCTGAAACCACTTGCAACTTGTATTAGTCTAAATTAATGAAATACTAGTGGGACTCCTGCTCACACTACGGGACCGATGATCTGGTGAGGGTCGCGGGAGGTAGAAAGGTCTTTGTAAAGCAGTGGACGTCATTCGGCTGAAACAAACGAATAAAAGATTATACCCGTTTTCACCATCAATCCCAAATTTTTAAGTGACCCTTATGAAATCAAAATGCCTGTTATGTGTTACCATAGGGATCTCTTAAAAATTAGGGATTCATGGTAAAAACGGGCATAAGGCTAAGTTGCACCATTTAATTTTGACTGTAAATTTGACAATAACCGGTGGTTTTTGCGTGCAATTTGACAGAATTTCCCAGAAACCCAGCCTAAAGGATCATATACATATTTACAGGCCATGCTAAACCCGGACTACATCAAGAACATGAAACCCGGCCCAGGCCAGGTGGTATCAGGGGCTTCGGTCAGCTCCTCGTCTTCCTCGGAGACCGTCAACGGGGTCACCAAGAGGAAGAGCTTTGGCCGCGTGGTCACCAATGACGACGGAAAAGTCACTGACGTCTCTTTCTAAATGATGATGATTAAAAGCGAAATGTATTGGGATCTATAATTAAATGGTGTATCAGAGAAGCATTATCTCGTTATTTATTAAATCCACTACAAGTGTAGCGCTTTACTGAGAAGCTTCGGTGAAGCGGTAAGGAAGGGGTGACATGTGACGTAACAGAGCTGACGTTTGATGTCACAAAAAGTTCCGTAGCGCATCGCTCTACTACCTACTTAGATAAGTGCTATGTAATCAAGACCATGGAATCAGGCACCTCCTCATCCTCAGACCGTCAACGGAGTGACCAAAAGGAAGAGCTCTGGTCGCGTAAAGGTCATAGCACACTTATCAACCCGAATAGGGATCAACACCGTATCGCCTTTCGAGGCGTGTAGGTACGTTACAGTGCGGATAAGTGTTAGCACGGAGTTTCATACAAAAAATAATACTGACCGCCTCGAGTTGATACTATTACGATCCGTTTCCGGGTTGATAAATGTGCTTCGTCCTTTAATGGGAGAAAAAAATTAATGTGTCTTGGCACCTAAAATAAAAATACACATTTTAATGTTGCTTGCAACAATTTACGTAACACCACTGCATAAAGGTAATATTAATCTAGATTTTTAATTAAAATATTAATTACAAAGACGTTGTTTTTCCCCAACGCGCAACGGCCGAGTTAAGGAATGCTGTCCGAGATTAGCCCGACCAACAGTTTTCCTTAAAAATAGTTACCTATGTATTATTAACGTACTACTCTTGTTACTTACATAAAAATAAGGTCAAAATGCAATATATTATAATCTACATATAAATTGAATATTATGTATATGACTAAAAAGTTATAGCTGAAAGGGTCAATGGCCTAACCTAGCAAAATATTTTTGAAAATAACTATGGTAACTACCTGGCGGAGGGTACAGCGCTCCAGGCTGTATGTTTTTGAATGAATTAACATAGCTACTTCATGTACCTAAATGAAAAAATAAAAAACATGTTTTTGACAAACGTGACGTAAAACAGAAAACAGACAAATGACGACTCTTCACGGAGTGTCAGAGCGATCACGAAATGGTGAACTGTCAGACAGGCATATCCGACGTTGATGATTCCACAATGGCGCTTGTTCGAATGTCATTTTACTGACGCAAAACGCCTATTTTCGCGTTTTTCTATTTACTTTATAGATTAGTATCGAACGATGGCTATATTAGTGCAATATTAGCAAATGTTATTGTAATGTTTGCAAGTATGCGTGTCTTTTGTTATGTGCCTCTACCTGTATATTTAATTTCGATTCGAAATCGTCATCTCTGAAAACATTTTTCTATACATTAACTTATTATGTAGACGGATAATATACGAGACCCGAATAAATACTGAATTTAAAGCTAAGAAAACTGTACAGGGTGGCAATTTAGGATCTAAGCATTATAATTTCCCTAAAACACATCATAAATTTTTCGACTGTAATGAATGGATCTCTAAAATGTTTTTAAGAATTTTATGTAACTGCAATAAATTATTATAACTTTGCTTATAAAGAACAAAATGTTGTGAAAATTAAACAAACTATTTTGCAGGGAGCTAAACCTGGTTTGGTTATACTTAGATTAATACTCAATTCGCAAGTCACTTTTTTGTATAAGCAGTAACCAAAAATGATTTTAGTGTAAGTGTATGTTATCTGTGATGATAATACCTATAATTTGTAGACATTCTGAACTATTTATTAATTCAACTTTAAAGTAAACACTGCACATAAGACGCAAAAAATAAATAGTTACCCAGTTATAAAGGTGAAGGATCATGGCAATAATTTTATTGGAATTTAAAGTTACGCTGCTCGAAACTCATTGTAAAGCTGTGTTAAATAATAATACATGTTACAATCAAAACTCATAATCGCTCAAAACCACATTTGACTGCAAAAATCAGTCAAAAGTGGTTTTGACTGATGGCGTTGGTCAATATCACTTTTGACTGATTTTTGCAGTCAAAAGTGGTTTTGACCGATTATCAAATTTCACTGTAACATATTATATTTATTTGTCTTATTTTAGGAAAGACGTTATTTTTAACAAAAATTGCTATTTTTATAAAAAAAAATACGCCATTAGGTAATAAAAAACCCTCCCACCTATCAAATGGCAAAGTTTTTCCAAGTTTTCTTTGGGTTCCACAAACCAAGTAATGTATTGGTAGGAATACATTTTACATTAGGGGCACAAAAATGAAAAAATAAATTATAAATTCCAATACCTCCAAAAGATATAAATTTTGGAACAATTTCCTTTTTTTTTGCCTTTAACCTATTTACAAGTTCTTTCTTAGTAGGAATGAACTTTTGCTTAAAAGGTCGTGCTAAAAATAAAAGGATTAAATGATTATTGCATTCCAATTAATCTATTTATTAGAACTTGTTTTTTGTCACTGACATAGCCAAGTTTACAATATTTGCGTTTATTTATACATACGGATGTAGAGAGCACCTATATTCTATTGTTAAAAGATCGATGTTTAATTAGGTACTTACTACCAATAAGTTTATAAATTAAAAATACTTAAAGGGCAATAATAACGCTATTAATTGCTAATTACTGAAAAACGCGCCTTTTCCCTATTTACAGCTACAAGTTATTAAATAAAATATTTTCCTTCATCACGTATTTCTGACGCATGGAAAATCCAAAACGATTTAGATAAAATGAAATTACCTACATATTCTAACTGTAAACATTGCTTATTAAATCTAACTTAATGAAAACATAAGATAACCCTAGCACTGAAGTCGTTTCAGCGTACACTGTTCAGACGACAGCACATCAGAATATGAAAATCACCCTTATTACAATTCTATAAGATGCTACAGTGTTTATCTTGACTTGCCGTCGGTGTACAAAAGTGTCGACCTGTCACTAGGTAATGGGAACATAATACCCTTACGGGTTAGTGATACACATGATACACATTTGTGTATGCGATTTTGCATGACATATACGATTTGACATACATACTAATACAAAAACACCGCGCGATATAAGCTTTGCGTTCCGCGTGTCGCCGCACAGTGAGTCGTGAAACGCAGAAGGTCGCCCGTGTAGCAATCAAAGATAAATAAAACTATTTGTTTATTAAATTTTCGAGCAAAATGTCAAAATTCGCGTTGTTAGCCGTTCTCGCGGTCCTAGCCGTTGCCCAAGGTAAGCAAGCGGGTTTTGTGAAGCTAAACATAATTTGAATTTATTTACAATTTATATACGACGACTTATATCAGACGGTTTGTGCGTAAAATTTTACGAGGTTTTGATATAACAAGGAAATTCGAGCAGCACAAAATATCACAATATTTTTGTTTCTTTTTTTGTTTTTCACTTTTGTTATAATTATTTTACAGAGATTTAGATTGTCGCTCTAATTTGAGCATTATTAGCTCTTCTACTCTATTTTATTCCCAATGGTGTATTTTGTATATTGAAAAGCACTTTAACCCTTGAAAATATTTATCAAAACTTTAATACAACAATTAAAGTATTATAAATCAACACACCTATCGTTTGCTTATAATTTAAGCTTTGCCAATAAACATCTAATTAATTAATAACTTATGAGCAGTCTGAATTAATAATAATTTGGCATTGGATGCGTTAACTTGTGATTTATCGATTATGCTCTGAACTAGCATCTGAATTGCTAATATAATTTAAATTCTGTATTTACATAGAAGTAATAATACATGAAGATGTCATACAAGTAACCTTGTTTATAATAATAACATAATAGTAGCTTAGTAGCACATTTTTGTGGCATGGTAGTATTATCTCATATCAGGAAATTACAATAATGCAGTTATATTTTGTATCTGATGTTACTTTAACATGTAACATGACGTCTACTCAAAAGACAAAAAGAGATAAGTACTTACTAGAAATTCTAGGAAATGATTCAGTGACTATTCTTAATAAGCATAGAGTTTTCAATTAACTTTTAATTAAAAAATTAAAAGTACTTAAAATCTACGCTGTTTTGCAGGTAAAGATCTAATTTTACCTGCATCGGTCCAAGAGGACCGATTGGCGTTTTTATTTGACAAACTAATTAATTGCTTAGTGTCTTTTTTCATGGTCTTGAATAAATAAGATTAATGTCACCATATCTGCTAACATGCATGCATAGGCAGCATGGCCTTTGACCTTAATAGCCTGTGTCATTAGGAAAAAATAGAAAAAAAAATAGCATCCACTTCCAATTTAAAAAACATTCCATCCAAATAGAACACAAAAATGTCAGTTTTCAAAATTTCAAAATCGTATTCTTTTTTTTCTGTGAAAAGAGTTTGGAACATCTAGTCTCGGTTGCCAAGCACCTGCTAAGATTTTTTTTATTGAGAAAAGAGTTAGCAACATCTCGACTGCCAGGTACTCAGTGACTGGCCATATTTATTTCTTTCTTGGTTTATAAAAGCGCGATTGCGGAAACGCACATCCTTGAAGACGATGTCTGTTTGTTTTCAATTAGCGTCACGGCTCGACGCATGACATTTAAAATTTCCCGCCCTTTTTTATTAAGTTCAAACAAACGATTTGGTAAAAAAAATAAACATTTCTGATGAAATTATCCGATTGTATATAAATTAGGAATGTTGCCTCAAGAAATTATATTTTCAGAATGAAGCTAGGAATGTAACAAAAAATTGGTTGATAAAAGTAAGTTACGTTAAAACTGGTTAAAGCTATGTGGTAATACATAGTTACATATCTATTTGCTTCGCAGTTTATAAATTAGACTATCAAAATATTATTTTTGCACATTTTGTATTTGCATTACACGTTTAAAAGCTGTGTAGCATTTAACAAAACGTAACGATTCGTGAAAATAATGTACTAGACGATGTAAACTGACATTAATAGGTTTGTTGCCCCCTAAAAAAGTATTGTATAGCGCATATGAATTGATGATATTTCTTAAATACCTACCTAATAACGTGTTTGATCTGATCGTTTGATCGCCAAGTCGAGCGCGAAGCAAACACTGTTTCTTTTTCCAAAATAAAAGCACATAAAAGACAACATTAAAAATATTTAGAAAAAAATTAACATTTGTAAACCCGTTTTGATTTTAAACGCGACCATAAATATTTGTTTTATTAACGTAAAAGGGCTAGTTGAATATTCATGTCATAATGTAATCTTATTTATTATATTCTCATTATCTAAAGAACGCCATGAGACATATTTAAATCCTTTAGGACCCTGACAGTGTAATTCGTACCAAGTCTTTCTTAAAAAAAAATTCTAATTTTTTTACCTACCTCCTATTTCAGGCTACCCACAAAAAGAAGTCGAAATATCGGATGCTGCTTCAAATGGAGATTGGAATTTAGTCCACAAACTGTGAGTTCTTTTGACTTCTATTTTCTTATAACCATGACATTTGACTAAACTTTTGCCATTTTCAAACGCTCGGGGTATTAGCTAATTCATTAGTTAGTAACGACGCTCAGAACTCAAGCATAGATTCAAGCCTAAGTTGAATTTTAGTATAATTAGTTTTACAAATCACATCACAACACATTACATCTAAAATTTTTATTAATAACGTGAAAAGGTCAATTTTCTCAAATTTACATCAAAATAGGTCCCTACGAAATGATATTTTGTATCTTGAATGTATGTAAAATTTAAATTATTTTTTTCTGCGTTTTCAGGATCCAGCAAAGGTTCGAGAATCAAAGAAATCTCTGGGAGGTAATCTTGTTTGACACTTTGAAAGTACCTATTTTGAAATTAAAAAAAACTTATCACAAAGAAATTGATTTGAATATAAGAATGACTAACAATCGAATCATACTTACTTAATTTAGGACAAAGTTATTGTTCTAAAATACTTTAGCATTGAATTTATTGGATTAGATNATAATACATATTTTCAGCTCAGAGCATTTCTTAAACCTAATTAGCATACGTAAATAATCAATATTAAATATTAAATTCCACCTAAAAAAATGTTGAATGAAAATTTTATCACTTTGTATATTGGGGTGTGTCATACCCCACCTGGTACGGGACGTAACTTTTAGTCACCTCGTACACGGAGGGTTAAATCAGTAACAGTTACCCTTACCTATGAGGTATTTCTAAATAAGTTAAAACAAACAAGCCATAAATTTAGAAAAATGCTATTGTTCTACTATATTGAATTAAATTGAGTTTATACCCGCTTAAATGATACTAAATATATCAAAACAAGGATCTCATCAGTAATAACTGTCAGTTTTGCTGTTCTTCGATCTATTACTTGAACGATAAAACTGAAATGACACCCAGTATTAAGTAGCTACTTATACTTAATTCGTAATAAACATGTTAGGTATTATTTAACACGTGTCGTTTTACATAATGAAGTTTGTGATGTACACCAATCGGACGATTTGTGTGGTTGAATAAAATACACGAACAGCATTAATTTTATGATTTTCTTTCAACATCGGATCAGTTGGTTATTCATTTACTAAGTAGGTAGGTACTTCAATTCAAATATTTTCGTACATACATACCAGTTTTGTATAATAAGTATGTAGTTATGTACAAAAAATATTTATTACAAACTTTACATTAGTTTATGACAAGATGACGCTAAGAAAAATCTTCAAGGTTATATTGTAACAAGCTAAGCCTGCGACGCACGTCGTACGCCTGAAATACATACAATATAGTTGAATTTTCCCGTTTTTCTAACATTTTCATTGATGCAATTGGACGCTTGGACGTAGCGCGATGTTAATAGCTTCTAGTCTTTTTTTTTTCTTCGGGAAAATACATGAATTATACCCACCAGCTGCGAGGGCAGCTAGTGGGTTATGTGGGGTTTTCACTGCCTTGGGCAGGGCCTTCCCCACTAAAAACCTGACATTGCCCTCGGTAAGCCATATGAGTCGGGAACGCGGGACATCACTATCGGCGTTTTGCCTCAAGCATTCGTCCGCGTTCCCTGCTCGGCATTCGGCTCGCTTAGTGCGCAGTTCCAAGCCTGTAACCTTCGTTTCATGGGCTAGCTAAAACAAAATATTTTTTGCAAACCAGTATAACTTCTGAGAATAAGACTGCTCTACCATTGTTTGTTTGGTTGAGCTATCTTATTCAGCTTAATTTATAAGTAATCTATATATATAAAAGAAAGTCGTGTTAGTTACTCCACTTATAACTCAAGAACAGCTGAACCGATTTAGCTGAAAATTGTCAGGGAGGTAGTTTAGAGCCAGGAGAAGGACATAGGATACTTTTTATCCCGTTCGAAATTAAAAAAAAAGTTTGCTTATTTATTGCCTCTAAGGCGGAACAAAGTTCGCCGGGTGAGCTAGTGTTTAATAGATACTAACTTATTTTCAGCCAAGCTTAACAATCCCGACTGGCAACGTCCGGAGCCTGAAGCCCTTGGAAGGTGGCCACGTGTACGGCGAGTCTGAGTACACCTTCAGATCGGAATCCAACGTGAACGGCAAGAAGACGGAGAGCAAAGGAGGGCACCGCGTCGTCAACAAAGATGGCGTCGTCACCGAGTATGACATCGAACCCAAGTTTTAGAAACCTAATGATTAATTAACAATCTTAATAGCTCACCCTAAAAAAGCTGGCTTTTGAGACAAGATGAACTACACCAACGCATGCAGTGCAGGTCGCCATGCATCCATCGCCGGCGCGATCACGGCGTGATCATAGGCCATTGACAGATAGCGCGAACTGTCATGGGTCGCGTCAACTGTCATTGGCGTATGATTGGTGTTGGTGTGGTTGAAGCTTAAAGTTAATTCATCCAGGATTTTGAGCAATATTGGTAATTTTCGTTGGAGTTTAAAAAAGTATGAATACGTTGTTGAAGTATTAGTACTAAATGAATGGGAAAAGTTTTTGTGTGAATTGGTATAAAAGAGATTATTGATCATTTCCAGAGATCTGTCTCAAAATTCCTCCTGAATATTTTCACATCAGGTGGGATTATTCTTATAAACTCTACCTATACTACCAGATTAAGAACTAAATTAATTAAGGGTGAGCTATGCCTGGTTGATTAGAATAAGAGCTAACATCATCAGCTTGCTCTAACAAGAATATGTGTCATATTTATAGTAATATACAAGGGAGATTATTATTTAATTATAAGAACAGAAGTCACTCTGCATTTTAGAGAAGTCTTACAAGTTTTGTCCTTAAATATTCATAAAAGGTAAAGTCAACTTAAAGTTTCAAAAGTTAATGGATTAATTTCAAAATTAAGATTTTTCCTTGTCGATTAAAAAGTTACTAAGTGTACAAGTTAATTATGTGGATAAAATTCTTAATTAAAAGTAGAAACTGTGATTTAACATAGATATCGTGATTATAAGAACCAAATTAAAATATAACTGACGACTAAATGAGAAGTGTTTTCTTCATTTACCTACTAAGTAAGTATGTTTATCGTCAATGAATAGCATACTAGCAGTCAGTTTCAGCAATTTTTCATGTCGCATAACTCGAGTAAAGCAAGCCTTTTCTAATTTACAAGAAGTAAAATGGAGGATTTGGTCAACACTCTCCATGTAGGGCCAGACGACTTTAACCATAATCGACTTTCACGATATCCACGCAAAGAGTAAGGGTGGTACTATTCTTCTCTGGCACAACCACACCGATGTTGATATACAGACTTAATTGCTTCGCGAAGCTTTGTACCTGCCCCGAAACCAAGGGCAAGAACTAGCCTTGTCACTTATTGCTTATCTTATAAGTCTGATAAAATTATTTGCCTACTTGTGCTTGAGTCTATTTTACTTACTTGTTAAGAAAGCTCCTACAAGGTTTTACCAGCAACACAAGTTCTCGTGCCAACACTGCCGATATTATTATATTAGGTAAGCAAGCAGAGAGACTATAATGTAAACTCTACAATGAAACATAATGTTTAACAAAAATATTACTTACTTAAATCACCCTTTTTTTTCAGACAAATAACATAATTTGCTAGAAATCGCAAGCTTTTGAAACTCTACAATATAGAGCTAACTTCATGTTGTAACTAACTTTGACCCTAAGGTTGACTGGCAGAAAATGCCGAAAGGCATTAAGTCCGCCTTATGTACACCGTTCTATGTGCATATAAGTTTTAAATAAATAAATAAATAACTAACTTTTAACGCAAGCTGATGTTTTTTAGCCAAAACAAGTCCAAACTATTGGTGCGACTAATATAGCATCAATCTACGAGGTTACTTTTTTTGAGTCAATTAATTTTTTTCAGGAACTGTATTTCATGGTATCACCATTGATACCAGAGTAAACGTTCATAATCATCAGTGAAAGTCTTCCTGAAAAATACTTTATTTTAAACCCTAATAATGATGAACATAGCGGTCGAAATCAAAAGGTCGAAATCAAAGGAAATTTTCAGTAAATAACATGACGTAGCAAATACGGTGAGATGCGGCTACACAATGCGTGAATAATTTTTAAATATTTTTTCTTGGTTAATATAACGTCAAAAGTAGTTTCAGTCACTTACATATAAATCTAAAGTGTAATTTAGTTCTAATTTTGTTAGTCAGTAGTCATTTATTGAAGAAACATCATTGTACCTAATTCGTTTATTATAAAAATGATTCACGCGAGCGTAGCCGTTAAACAATGATAGCTTCAAATCAATTAACGAATTTAGACCATTAAATCTTGCTATATTCGATTGTCTTAAAGGTACCAAAACCCAATCAATTATGTGATGATGATTAATTAAAGTATATCGTGACCCGAGACGGGCGTAAACAAAAATTTTCCAGGTACCCTACCTCCAATTATCCTTTTAATACCTAACTCATTAAATTATACCTGTGCTTCTTCTTTAATGACGTCATTACGTAGGTACATCCGGTGCTAGACATGTGGAGATCTCAAAGACCGATAGCTAATGTGGCAGGCACGACTAGTTTGTTTTTGTCGGCGTCTTTAGACTTGTAGGTTTTATCTATGTTATCAATTTACAAATAGAAGAAAAATGTGCCTTAAAATATCAATCGTTTCAGCCAAATGACGTCCACTGCTGGACAAAGGCCTCCCCCAAGGTTTTCCACAATGAACGGTCCTGCGCTGCCCGAATCCAGGCTCTTCCCGCGACCTTTACCAGATCGTCGGTCCACCTAGTAGGAGGCCTGCCCACGCTACGTCTTCCAGCCCGTGGTCGCCACTCGAGAACTTTCCTGCCCCAACGGCCATCGTCTCTGCGAGTTATGTGCCCCGCCCACTGCCACTTGATTTTAGCAATTCTGGGAGCTATGTCGGTTAAAATATCAATATCAATAGGTAAAATATCAAGTTACTTCTTAATAGTTAAAATGTGACTGACTTTTCTGGCAAAATTAAAATAAGTAACTGGCTGGATGTGGACGGCAGTTGCCGGATCAATTTAGAAATATAGTGTTTATTATATCTCACGCAATAGAGATATATTACAGTCAAAGCTCATAATCGGTCAAAACCACTTTTGACTGGAAAAATCAGTCAAATCTCTGGGCAACAAAAATTTGTGTTTATATTAATTTCATAATCGTTTCGTTACGTCTTTTATTACTTCGCTATGTGAAACAATCATTTTCTGTATGCCTACAGAAAATATTTCGTTTAAATGATGTGATATTGAAATAATTCTCTTCCAGCAATATAATTTTATGACTATTTCCAAGCATATTATTTTATTTCACACGGTTAAAGTAATATAAAGTTATTAAATGAAATTTAAAAATATTTCGTATACTTTCACGGTAATCATGCGTAGCTGTGATATAATTTGGTATACTTTAAAATGGCGTTAAAATATAAAATAGGAATGTTATTAACTTTAAAGTCCTGTCAGAATTGTTCTTTTAGTTAGATTAGTCTACAGATTCGATTGAATAAATGTACTTGCTTTGATCGTAACTTTACGACAAATTAATACGATCTAAAATCGAAATCGAGCGTCACATTGTCTACAAGCTCTGATAGAAAGAGCCTTCTTTCTCTAACCAATAGCGCAAGTACTTACGTGAAAATTATTTTCTTAGTAAAAGGCTTAGTAAAAGTTCAAAGTTACAAATAAGTAGATATTTTATGACACGTTACTCAATTATACGATTTACAATTACAATTTCAGAGAGCTCGTACTTAGCTCTACAAAAGGTCTTCAACCAAATTCCTAACTGAATGAAACCTACAGTAATCTGCCATCACTTGTTGTATATGCGTTTATTAGCCATGTTACATGTAAAAACAAAAGAAGAACCATAACATAAATAACATAAACATCTTAAGTTTCCTTAGTTACTCGCTAGGTATCGATACTTCACACCTACAAAACATTGTACTGTTAATGCGCTATGTTTCAAAGTTAATTTACCCGCGCTTAGCTCCTTACGATAGCCTGATAAGACTAAGAACATTTAATAGAGCGCGAAGACTGCGCCCGCGCATAACTCGACGACCACTCGGACAGACCAGTGCGGTACAAAGATATTACTCAAAATACATTTCAATTACATGTGGTGGTGTTATCAACATGAAGAGTTGTATCTTACTTAGTGTTGTTTTCATACAGTTGGGGTGGACTTACGGTAAGTAATGTTATTTTATTAATTAATAATTAAAAAGCGCGAATTCACGCTTCAATTTCAAATTAAGTCGATAATATTAATTCAGTTTCGATAAAATATTGGAAATCTTTGACATCTAAAATAGGATTTAATATTGGCTAAGACAAGGTAAATAATTTACGATCGTCTGGAATTTAAAACAGCTAACTCACTCAGTAAATTTTGCCTGATGTCAACGCACAACCGTTATATCTAGCGAGTATGTACTTTTAACAAGTTTTTTGAGTTGCGAACCAGAAAGTGCGATCTGTATAACATCATGAGCTATTTTAAACTAAGCAATGTACATAGATTAGTACCTTACATGCGCGTAAGCAACGATAATATCTACATAATCAGTCAGCATGCATAAAATGACACTTCTAGTCCTATCGTAGTCATATAAAATATAATAAACTTTTTATGTATCTACTTGGCAAAATTTGCATTTACAATACAATCATCAATACAATGTACCTATATTATACGATAATATAGCAGCAAAATAGACCCTGTTACAACTGTTTAAGGTTCCACAATGTTAGTTGTGCTTTTGTCTGTGGACTTGGGACGTAAAATATACCATACTCATACTCGATGACTTAATCGTAGATTAAAGTTACCTATTCAATTTAGACGAGATTAAGATAGGTATTATTATAAAGCTGATTGACATGTGCACTTACTCTAGACAGATCAAAATAACAAAATACTAACGTTAATTTTCAGTAACTACTATTCTGAAATAAGATACAGTCTATTTAAATGAAATGTTTTGTTTTGATTGGTCTTGATCTTGAAAGAAAGAATCTTAAAATCGGCTCTATGTACCTAAAGCAAATCTAAACATTAGAGAAATAACGTATCACATTAATTTTGTAATTTAAATGAACACCGTTAGACTCAGCTTGATTATTTAATCGATTACGTTAATTGATCGACTAATCTAATAGATTAATAATCGAGTTAAAAGTATTATTACTAATGAATATCACTTTCTAAATAACGTGATGTCATGTTGCGGTTAGTAAGTACCTACAGTTATTGATAAACTTAATGCATTTACTGCAAACGCTACCTATATGTAAGAAATATTATTATAATGGTAAAAAAAACTTAATCTTAGTCCAAATTAAATCAATAGTAGGTACATTAAGTAGTTCTGTAGCAAAACAAACACTTTACAACAAATCGATAAAATTAAATCCATTAGCATATATTTATCTTAAACAAGTCATTTAGGGTTCCGTAGCCAAATGGCAAAAAACGGAACCCTTTATAGATTTTAAAAATGAGAGGAAAACAAAGGGCAGTTTAACATTTAACTAGTCCTTAACATGTCTAAGATCAATGACAAATACATAATTAATTATTAATATATCATGCCCTAATAAATGAAGATAGTTGTTATTATTTAATTAGATTAATGCGAGTGAACATTGATGGTCATTGTCACTGATAAGAAATATCCGACTTTACGAGATGTTCCAATGTTATCAATTTAAGCGATTACGAAACTTTAGTTATACAAATCATAACAGTTATACCTATAAAAGTGACATAAATATTATGTTTATTATACTTACATACTAACTTTTGTATCATACTGAGATCACGGTCGTGAAAATGTCCACTATTATGATTTGGGCACACAATTTTCATGCATTTTTTCAACTTTGTTTTTCTCAGGGACTCTATAACTTTCTCTATTAGATACCTACCTACGACTGTGTTACTTGCAAATA